AGTTTTTATTCTCCCGGCAAGAAAGTTACAGAAAAGGAACACAGGTGATTACAAAAAGAACAATGAGATATTCGTCATGGCAACAGTCATCAGGTTTAGCTGCACCAAGGACGACTGCCCCTATAGCAAGCATTTCTGCTGTGTTACCATTTTTTTATCAACAGCAGAGACTTTAGTCCTGGGAAAGTTTTCTCTTTTTCCAAGCTTAGCATTTCTATGTGCAATACTAAAAAGTTAGGCTATACCTTAAACTAAAGGGCTTTGGCCCTTCTGAAAACTAAGGACTGTGGTCCTACTATGCTATAAGTTAAGCCCTTTGAAATACATTTGCTTTATTAATGTTAGTGTCCTCCACAGTATATAGTTTTGATTTTCTGCATATGCAAACATATCATCTGTGAGTCATGACAATTTCTTTTCTTCCTTTCAGTAATTATATGTTTTACTTCTTCATCTTGCCTTATTGGAAAGTCTAGGACCTCCACTATAATTTGGATAGACTAGTTGATAGTGGGCTTCTCTGTCTCATTTTGAACTCTAGGGAAAGCTTTCAACATATTAGCTATTATGTAAACTTTGACGTATATTTTATTTTAATAACTTTCTATTGGATTAAAGAGACTTCTTTTGTCCCTAGTTGGTAAGAAGTTTTTTCATGAATGGGTGTTAAATATTATGAAATACTTTTCCTGTATTTGTTGAAATGATCACAATATTTTCCTCCTTTATTCTCTCTCTTTTTTTTTTTTTTTTTTGTCCTTTTTGTGACCGGTAAGGGGATCGCGCAACCCTTGGTGTGGTGTCACCCACACTGCGCTCAGCCAGTGAGCTCACTGGCCATCCTTATATTGGACCCGAACCCACGGCGGGAGCGCCGCTGCGCTCCCAAGTGCTGCACTCTCCCGAGTGCGCCACGGAGCCGGCCCCTCCTTTATTCTCTTAATATGGTAAAATACATGGTAGATTTTCAAATGGTAAAACAACCTGTATTCTTGGGGAATAATCCAAAATAGTGGCTTTGCATATTTTTTTAGATATTATACTATTTTTATGGATTTGCTTTGCTAATTTTTTAGTGACTTTATCTATGTCCATGAGTGAGATTGGC